AGAATTAATTTTAAATATTTTTCTTAATAAAACTTTTAGTTTTTAAGAAGAAAAAAGTACTTTTAAAAACAAATACTTTTAAACTTCGTCCAACGCCCTCCACCTCCCAATCATCTTGGATTTTTCCTTCATGCACCGATCCTTTTCATTCCCACTTTCCAGTCCTCCAATTTGGATGGATAACGACTGGTAATGATACGCATCGACTCCAAGACTCCATTCCCACCCAGACCATCTTTAAGCACATGGTAATCTTTCCAACCTTCTATTGTTTTCTTTCGAAATTCAAGTAAGTGATACACTCTTCAGGAATTCAGGAGAGAAAGATGATTGATATTTTTTTTATATATTTAACACACATTTTACTATTTGCTTAATTTAAATATTAAAATATAAGATAGATATAATTAATTTAATTAATTTTTACATTGTATATAATTATATTTTTAAATTTATTTATTTTTAATTTTAAATTAAAAAATAATATTTTATTAAGTTTTTTATGTAAAAATAAAATATATAAAAATAATTTATGTAAAATAATATTAAATATAATTATGTGATACAAAAATAATTGTGTTCGTTGTAGAGGCTCTTAGGATTGAAAGATAGAAATATACCATGTACAATAGAAACCCAATCTGGTCGAAACCTCATTGATTTGGCTCCCTGCTTGCCATGGAGGATGCCATAGTTCTGTACCCAACTCCCCAAATTGGCCACCTGATATCCATGGTGGAGTTGGGCAAACTCATACTCACTCATCAACCTTCACTCAAAATCCACATCCTCAACCCCTTTCCACCTTATGGTGCTGACTCTACCGCCCCATACATATCCGATGTCTCAGCCACTGTCCCTTCAATCACCTTCCACCAGCTCCCTGCCATCACCCTTCCCCCCTCCTCATCTCGCCACCATGAATATCTCGTTTTTGAGACCCTCCGCCTCAACAATCCGAACGTCCACAGTGCCCTTCTTTCTATCTCCAAGAGCTACAACATCCTTTCCTTTACCATGGACTCCTTTGGCTATCCTGCTTTTGATGTAGCTACTTCTCTTAACATCCCTGCTTACTTCTTCTTCACCTCTGGTGCTGAAGCTCTCGCTTTCTTTCTCTATTTTCCTACCATCGACAACACCACTGCTAAAAGCTTCAAAGATCTCAACACTCTTCTTGATATCCCCGGTATCCCGCCTATACCATCATCCGATGCTCCGAAGCCCATGTTGGAACGCGAAGATGCGGCTTATAAATGTTGCTTGGATTTCTCCATTAGCTTGCCGAAGTCTGCAGGCATTATAGTGAATACTTTTGAAGCGCTTGAGCCAAGAGCTCTAAAAGCCATTAGGGATGGACAGTGTGTACCAGATAGTTCTACAGCTCCCATATACTCCATAGGACCATTGATTGCTACAAGCAATCGTAGTGGCAGCTCTAATGGTGATAGCATTCCGGAGTGCTTGAGGTGGCTTGACTTGCAACCTAGTAAAAGCGTTGTGTTCCTATGTTTTGGTAGCTTGGGTTTGTTCTCCAAGGAACAGTTGAAGGAAATAGCTATTGGGTTGGACGGGAGCGGCCAGAGATTTTTGTGGGTCGTGAGGAACCCGCCATCGGAGAACCAAAGCGTGTCCATCAGGGCACAACTCGAACCAGATTTGAATTCATTACTACCGGAAGGGTTCCTAGACAGAACCAAAGACAAAGGACTGGTGGTGAAGTCATGGGCTCCACAGGTAGCTGTGCTGAATCACGACGCCGTGGGTGGGTTTGTGACTCACTGTGGATGGAATTCGATTTTGGAAGCGGTACTGTGCGCTGGAGTTCCGATGGTGGCTTGGCCTCTCTATGCTGAGCAGAGGTTGAACAGGGTGTTTCTTGTGGAGGAAATGAAAATAGCTTTGCCAATAGTGGAGTCAGAAAACGGGTTTGTGAACTCAGGTGAGGTAGAGAGACGAGTTAGAGATTTGATGGAATCGAAGGAAGGTGAGTCCGTCAGGGAGAGATCCATAGCGATGAAGCATGCCGCAAAGGCTGCTTTGATTGGAGACGGGTCGTCTCATGCTGCCTTAGACAAACTCATTGAGTCATGGAAGCAGAATTAAGAAAGGCATCAAAGCCATAGTGCATCGGATGTGGAGTACTATGTTGTCTTGAAGTATGAACTCGGTAAGGATTTGGTACTATGTTTTTACATTATTTTGTTTGGAATTTGGATCTACATTGTTGTCTTGAACTATGAACTCATCTAGTTTTGTGCATGTTATGTTGTTTGTCTTAATTGTTGCATCTCTCAAAAACATTTTTATTTTTTTATGGAAGACAAATTTCATTAGCAAATGGTGAAAAATGCAAGATTGATGACAGAGAAAAACAGAGCATCGTATGACCCTCATCACATATTAGAACTTCTCATTCTAAATTGGTCTCGTACACCAAGATATTAGAGAACTTACACTACTATTAAAACCCTATCTAATTTAAACTAGAAACTGACGTGGCATATTCTCCGCCTCCTCCCCTAGCAGCAAAACGCACAACACCATTAAATAATCTGAAGTTGATTCCAACCCAAGAATAACGTTTTTCGGAGTGTTTGGATTAGTTAGTAGGATTCAAAATAATAAAATAGCTTGGGTTAATTGGGGAAGACTTTGTCTGGACAAGTTTAACCATGGTCTAGGCGTCCGGAATTTGTCCATTAGAAATGCAGCCGTTTTGGGGAAAAGATGAAATAAATTGGCTACATTACTTTATAGTGATTCTGTCATTTTTGCTCTTAACTAGTTTTTTTGTCTGTGTGTTGTACGGTTATTTTTTAGTTTTTTATATTAGAATTTGTATTTTATATTATTTATTAACAATTTTTAAATTTTATAATAATGTTATTATAATATTTAAATTAAATAATTAAGGTTAAATTTAAAATTACTTTTAATAATTACCGATATATTTTTTCAAAAGTTATATATAAAATCATATTAAAAAGAAAATAATATTAAGAAAATTTATAAAACATTTATTATTAATCTTCATCTTATAATCCAAAA